TTGCTGTAAACAAGATAAATATTGTTTCAGTCTTTCACGCTCAAATCCATCATCAGTAATTATAGTTAGAGATACAAAACCGAAATACAAGTGCTGGGATGGAGCGACCAAAAATTTGGTTAAATATCTATGCGTTTCGTCTTAGACTATCTTCGCTCCAAGGACAGAAATAATAAAATGTTATTCATCCCTCCTTTACTTGATGTCCATTTTTTTCCGACACCAAAATAAGTAGTTGGCTCGGTCGTACAACAGGTGGAGATTGAAGTTCGGGGTTAATTTTAATTAATTTTGGTCAGCGCTGATTGTGTACAAGTCAATCGATAAATTCCTATCGAATTTACTTCTGATTCTGAGTAGAATTACGAATGTTTAAACAAACCTCGTGGCTCGTAACTTTTTTCATTTATGAATGTTTTTTTTTTTTTCAGTTCTTACTACAGATATCATGTCACTCTTACGACAAGACGATGATGGAGATATGCAGCTCGTTTGATATGCTGGATCTTTGTGCTGAACAGAATTATTTAAAATAATATTACACGGTATATACAGATATGGTACCAGTAGCTGATAGTACTCACCATTACCTGTAGCCTTCATTGTCTTGCTTCAAAAATAAACCATACCGTCCAATATTAATTCACTAATTCCTTTGTTTTTCCTCAACAGACGTTTACATCGAATAGCCAATAAGATGTGTTTCGTTTTCTTTCTTTTCTTTTTGGTAACTATCGTTGTTATTTACGTTCAACCGTTCCTTCCTGCCTTTGGCTTATTTGCGCTGCGTGGAAAAGGTCATTTCGAGGTTGCCGATATTATTATTTCTTCACGCCATAAGCGATCCTTACAAAATAGTTAGGCTGGAGCGAAATTTGGCTCTCGAGTTATGTAAATTGAAATAAGAGAACCTGAAGCGAAATTTATATTTTGCTGCTCGGAAACAAGTAGATCCTGCAAACAAAAACGTGCTTGTACACAGCTAAAACACACACGTTATTACTTCTTTGAGTATTGCAATTATACCTACAAATAGAAAAAAACGCTTATAAGTTGTAGTGTTATTTGTGGATGTGAATGGGCCAGGTGAGAATTATGTTTGCTTCATGGAGACAATGTGTGTAGCTTCTGCTTGTTACTTCAGTTGAGTAAGGTTCAAGTGTCTTCGCTGACCCAACTTAGAAAAAAAAAAAAATTTTAAGAAAAAAATTAATGAGAGAGAATATCTCAGCGACTAGCGCCGTTAGTTTTAATATATAGACATCAATATTTTCACTGTGTTTAGTTCAGATGTTTCCTTGGCGCATTTTCTTGCTCGTTCGAGTATTAAATTTAATAATCATTTTGTTTCCGAAAATCAAATTGCCTTCCTGCTTTCAAAAGTCCGGCAAAGTTGTCCACAAATTTTATTCCAAAGACATTAACACAGATCAGGTCCGTGTACCACTAAAGTTTATATGACAACTGAACTGAGTTATGAATGCATTTTGATTGTGTCTTACTACTGATCTTAATGGAGGACAGACGCATAAATGACGTCAGCTATGACCACATTTTGCTTTTTTATAAAATAGAGTTCATGTTGCCGAGGTTCTTTTCAGTAACATATCAGAGCACGTTCAGCAGTCTTCAAAACTAGAATTTTATTTTTTGATGATAGGTAGGTATGTACAGACATGTAATTCACGTATTGAATAATGGATGTCAACAGCCTAACACGTCAAGCTTGTACAATGTAATTCTTCCAAAAAGATCTGTACTACTTGAAAATAAGATATTTAAAACTTTCATCCTCTTTGAACTTGTGATTGGAAAGGTCTTTACTCTATGTTAAGGTATTCAAGCATGCATAAGCAATTCAAACTTTTAGAAATCAAAGGAAACCTGGTAAGTTATAATTCCTAAAATATTTACCATAGACCACTTTCATAAATGGCTGCCAGATTAATATTCTTTTGTTTAAATTTAAATTAGCCTTTCTGGCCTTGTTCTCCAGTACAAAACTCAAAAGAATACATTATCTCAAGCGAGGCCAGAAAGGCTAATTTAAATTAAAAAAAAAAAGAATATTAATCCGGCAGCCATTTATGAAAGTGGTCAATAGAATGCTAGAAATGGTCTTACATCTTCCTTCAGAAAAGAATTCTTAAAAACCATGAATGGAATCAAGAGTGTGTGTAATACAGGGACTAATGTCAGTTTTTAGGATAAAGACATGCCAATCCTAACACTTTTTCTGGAAACTTCCTATTTCTGGTGAACATTTCTGACCTTCCATTTCAGCACAATCCTTTCTCACTTTTCTGTGAGATCTTGGACTTTTTGCCTTGGACACAGTTTTGCAAGACTCTATGGATGTTGGGGTTTAATGATGCACTAGATTGCCTCAATTCATGCCAGCTTTGTGTCCCTTCAAGTGGCCTCAATTGCAGGGATGTCACTTTGAGGTCTGTTCCTTTAAAAATGATCATGAACTCCATAGGGGGTTTGTGCTTTTTCTGCTTTTAATTGCATGTGCAGAAAACCCTCATGGTTCATTTCAGTGTCTCCTTCTTTAGTACTGCTTTTAATCGCATATTTGCACCAAGCTGTTACTTGGGATTCCTACAATCCATGGCAGGATGACATTACATTACCAGGATCTCATTTTGTATTCTACATTTAGCTATCTTTAATCTGCGTATGGATTACCATGTCTTCTAGTCTAGTAGAACTTTCTCATCTTGTTGCTTGTATGATTGAGCCTTTGTATTTTGGAGTCTGTGAAAGTTGTTCAATTTACTGACTACAGGCCTACCAATGGGCACAATTGTCAAAGGATACCTGTAGTGTATTTAAATCATCTGGATAAAATTCAAAGAATGGCATTAAGCTGCTAGATGATGTTCCACCTTCAAGACAACACTCTTTGCCAACAAATCCACCTTGAAACTGCAGCTGGATTTCTTTTAAACAAACTTCTTCTGGAAATTCCAGGATAACAAATTGAGGTGAACCCTGTCAACATATAATTTTGCAAATCTAAATACAACCCATGGGTAGACCAAACTTGGAAAATATGATGAACAGTTGGAAATAGCATGAGATGCATGTGTCTTCCCCCAAACGTAAGCAACACTAAATCTGTTACCAATTCAGACTACCAGGGCAACTTCATTTCATGGGCATCATCTCAATAATTACCCTAATCATGTTCAAAATCATAGAGAATAATTATGCCATCCATAATTAGCTATCCACATATAGTGATTACAAGATACTGCTTGCTCTTAAATCTCTTGTGCTTCTTTTGTTCATTTCAAATGAGGACAGTGTACAATAATGGTACAATTTTACCATCTTTTATAAACTCCTCCTTATTTTCTACATTATAATATAATGAATCAATGACAGACAGAGTGCCTGTGAAATGGATTCTAAAACTTAAGAAATGAATAAGACAAAGGGTGCTACAAATGGCAGCATTGATACTGGTGCAAATTGGTTTTATCAACTGAGTTGATAATGTTAATGGCAGCATTGATACTGGTGCAAATTGGTTTTATCAACTGAGTTGATAATGTTAATCGGCCACCGTAAAGAGTTTCTAAGCTGATACTTGAAGTGTTAGCCCTTGGTCAGAGCAAATGGAGGAATTATGAGTTGTGTGTGTTTATATGCAGAAAATAGTTGGAAAATGGTAATACAAAAAACCAAGAATAAATTGGTTGAATGAAAAGCCTTTGTTGATACCATTGGTTAGGGTTAGATTAAGAGTGCCAATTTGAAAGATAAACGGCTTTAAGTGTCAAGAAACTGGTTTGGATGTGTCCTTGTCATTCCTTTCTGCATCATAAAGATGTTCTCGCAATCTGTCACCGAGTTGTCTTACTGTTTCACCAACATATGTTTTAATGATAATGACAATAATAAATTATTGTCATATATCACACAATTATCAATATAAAAATTTTCAATTGCATATTATGATAAAAATTCACCTCTACAGAGATACTAAAGCCAAAAATAAAAATGTTGACTAAGTGCAATAAATGGTGTGTCCAGGCATTGGGGTGGGGCCAGAGAAATTGCTATACGTGAAACATCATGGCAAGTTTCACTAGGAGTTTTGAGTTAACCCATCAATGAACGACAATCCCAGTATTTCTCAAGGTTTATAGACCCCTCTAAGTTTTTAAATCAGTTATTTAGACCTCTAACCATAACAACAAGTATCACTGACCATTTCACATTGTAATAACTCCCCTGCCCTGCCCCCTCTCCAGTCCCCCAGCTTTTATTTTGCTTACTTGGTCTGAATTCCAGCAAGTGTCCTCATTATTATCAAACATGTATTTCTTGCCGTACTGGGTAGAATCACGGTTCAAGACAGAACTGACTCTTGAAAAAAGAACAATGATACAAGTTTATGGGAGAACGTATTCAAATGTTACAGCAATATAGCACTTGATTCCTATGTTGTGTCCAGTTGAGGTATAGGAGAATAAGCAACTGTTTTAAAAAAGAGCAAACAGGGGCATTTTTGGAGAGTGAGGCATTGAAGCGAAAAATGTAAGCTTAATGAAAGGAAAATACTTCTGAACCATGTGTGTTTCTGAGCAACTGTGTACCAACACCTCCCCTAGCCTTTCATTAACCCTAACTTGTTATCAGTTGACTATTGTTGTGTCAAGGGAAAGGTAAGCGCACAGCTACTCAGAGACTGACATCGGTCCACTTTTCTCATACATTTTGGCACAGTGAATTTTTCACCAGGTCTGCGTGATCTTACATGCACAAAAAAGAAACGATCCCAATACGACAATAGAAAGCATGCAATCAAATATAATCATACACCAGGGAAAGACAACACATCAAACACCGTCACGGTGTTTCACCGCTCACCTCACTTTTGTTTTTTCTGTCAATAACGAGACCATCTCCTCCGCCATGTGTTCGAGAGCACATTCTGAGGAGCTCTACACCAGCTTGATAATTATTTAGATGGTAGACTGCTGACCGAACAAATCGACAAAGTGGGAAAATCTGAAAATGGCGGATGATTATGGAGGGAACATAAAGTTCTTTCATTTGACGACAGAAATCGAATAACATATTTAGTTTGGTTTAGTGAAATAACACTATTTAAGATTTTAGCCGTTTTCACCTTGTTCTTCATTTGTATGAAAAATTGTTAGTACAGCGATTAACATTTGCTCTAAGTTATAACACTGACATTATGTCAGTGAATTACGCTGCAGGGCTTTCTTATTATCCCCACAAAGGAAAATGTGGACAGCCTGAGGTAAGAAAAAAAAATTACAGTGTTGCTTTTAGGGATCGACGCAGGAAAAAAAGTTGTTGAGTTTGATACAGTTTTCCTGGTCAACCTTGCAGGTTTTCGACTCTCCCGAACAGCTGGAACACAAGATGGCGGAGTTCACAAAGCTTTTTCGTGAAGCTAAACACATTGTATTTCACACGGGAGCTGGTGTGAGCACGTCAGCAGGAATTCCAGACTTTAGAGGACCGAAAGGTGTTTGGACTTTGGAAGAAAAAGGAAAAGCTCCTCAAATGGAGACTACGTTTGATGATGCCAAGCCATCCCTTACACACATGGCTTTGGTTAAGCTAGTGGAGGAAAATTTTGTTCAGTATATTATCAGTCAAAATGTGGATGGTTTGCACATAAAGTCAGGACTATCCAGGTATCTTATTTTCCTATGACAAGTTATAAACAGACAATTAACCCACCCAACTAAAACTCTATGTCGGACACAAAAAATTTGATTAGCAAACTCGATGTACACAAAATCCGTTTAAGGTACTACAATTAAACTAGGGATGGGTCGATACTCATACAAAATATTCAATACCAGCAATACCAAGGTCTGCTCAGAAAATGTTGATATGAGAAAAAAGTATTGATACTTCCATTATTGCACATGACCTGCCCGCTCTTTTCCTGATGCCTGTAACCAACTGCTGACAAGGAACCAAAAAGACTCGGGGCTTTAGACTGGGCAATGAGCATTGCAGTATACCAGTCTAAATTGGGTGTGAGCTCTGCAGAAGTGAACTGGTTTCCACTTAAAGGCCCATTTTCATGCGAGATCCTTTGCAGTCGTTTGTTTTTGTTTTGGAATCGTGCTATTGTTAAATGGTGAACTCTGATAGTCATTCACAAACACTGTTAAAAAGATATACACCACTTTCATAAATGGCTGCCGGATTGATATTCTTTTGTTTAAATTCAAATTAGCCTCACTAGCCTCGCTTGAGATAATGCATTCTTTTGAATTTTGAACTGGAGAACAAGGCCAGAAAGGCTAATTTAAATTTAAACAAAAGAATATCAATCCGGCAGCCATTTATGAAAGTGGTCAATGAGCCAAGAGTAAAACTGAATGCATATCATTTAATCGATATTATGCATCAATTCAAAGACATTCTCAAATCGTTGTGCATAATTACCTGAATTGTGCATAATTACCTGAATTCAACAAAATGTTGGCATTAACAAAATGGTGATCAACAGGGGAAGAGGGGGGACTTTCAAGAAACTTATTAGACATAAGTTACACTATTTCTGTTTGTCAAGTTGAGTGGAGGGTAGTTGACTACCTACTACAGGGAGGTCTGCCAGCTACTTTTGCCACTCATTGTAGACAAGTAAGTTACTTAGTACTATAATGAAGCCACCAGATTTTTTGCTATCATATGTTGTCATAACACATAATACTTCGTTAGTTTAGATAGAGTAGCGATAATTGCATGTATAGGATTTTTATTGAATTGTAATTGTAAAGCGCATAGAGTTCAATTTTAATGTGCTATATAAGAACTTATTATTAAATTAAATTAAATTAATTGATAAGCTCTATCCATAACATACAGATTGCCTCTCATTATTAGTCTACTACTATTGTGTTATCAGGTCACACCTTTCAGAGCTCCACGGTAACATGTTTATCGAGAAGTGTGACAGATGTGAAACTGAGTACATTCGCAAAAATGCTGTTACTACTGTAGGATTGAAGAAGACCGGAGGAGTATGTGAGAAAAAAGGAGTCAGAGGAAACTGCAGGTATACTGTAGTACTGATGTGGCTTCATTTTGCCATGAGGATTTGACAACTACAAGGACCCTCCACCAATAGTCTTTTAGATGGCAAAACAATAGTTAAAAAATTACTTATAAATCCTTCACACCTTAACATCAGTATGTAAATTCTCCACAGTGTTTTCTATACATTTCATTTGGTACTTACCAGGAGAATTTCTTCAGCAATCAAGAGTCTCTTGAGTTTACAATCATTTCCTTTGTTTTCATGACTCAGGGATGGTAAGTTGGGGAGAAATTAGATGCATAATGCTCTTAGGGGTTAAATAGTGTTAGTTTGGAGTAACATACATAATACATTTTTAAGTGAAGAGATCATTGAGATTTCTTATCCAACTGAAAAAATTAGTGATAGATTCCTATCCTATTGCAAACAGTAGAGAAACAGAAAAAACAATGTATAATTCATAGCATGTGTGGGAATTTGAAAGCTGTCTAATTACAGGTTTTTTACTTTTATAAAGCTGTATTTGGACACCCAGGACATCTTGCACATGCAACTCTTGCTGAAGTTTAGAATCACTTATTGTTGTGTTTATTTGTTTGTGTGGTTCCAGAAAATATCCATACCCCACATGGAAGGAATTTGCCATATGACCCCCCTCCTGCCCTCTGGATTTTCCGAAATTGGCCCCAAAATTAACCCCCCTGCCCCTCCAGAATTTCCAAAAATTTTGCACACCCCTGGAAATATTGCTATCTCTTATTGAAGGGAACAGATAAGTAGTTTTTTTTTACTAGGATGCCAAATTTGGTGAGTTTCATGTATTTTTGTTGAATTCTATAACAGGTAAAGCAAATTCCTTATGCGAATTCCTGATGCGCTCAAGTCACGAACAAATTTGAGTTTCGTGTATTTTCAGCTTTTCTGTTGAATTCTACAACAGATCAGCGAATTCCTTATGCACTCAAGTCACAAAGAAATTGTTGACAAAGTTCTTGGCCACAGGCATATGAAATGCAAGATCGCGTGCGAAATATAAGTGTACTTTCTCTCACTGCGTCAAGAAGAAAGCAAAGAGATCAGGACCTTGTCGCACGATCAGACAGTGCGAGTATCAAATTTTGTGCTACCAAATTTGCATATTTGAGTTAGCAGTAAATTGCTTGTCGCTGATTCTAATGATGATAAAATTGTCACGCAAAGTTTGACATGTTGGAAAAGTCTCATAACTTCCTTGTGATAGAGAAACAGTCAAGTGCAGAAGAATGTAACCAATTAAAAGTTTTTTTCCATGTTTGTGTTCTCAAAAGTTTTCGTTCTGCTGACTAGAAAATAAACTACCAAAGCGTATAAGATAAAAGAAATACTATTTATTCCTCACCCTAAAGGTATCCATTTGATACAATTTGAGCAACCATTTAAAATCTGGCACTACCCAAACTTTAGAACTGTTTTGTGAACTGTTTTCTTGAAGCTTGGCCTAAAGACTTAAAAATGCGTTGCCGGAGGTATCAGTCCGATCTTTTTCACATTAAATGGATTGTCGTTCCTGCCTTTGTGAACTGATCACAAAGTTGTTCATGAACCACGGGTCAAGTACATTAATTTAGCTTTAAACAGAGATTATTCGGAAAGTGTTCTTTTGCTGCTCTACCATCACCTCAAGATAAATGCCATTGCCAAAATGCATGAATGTGAACCTGTTGTAAAAGTGAATATCCTTTACAAATAAGAGCTAGTGTCACTGAAAACTGAAAGATAAAAGATTTGCAAAAAACAGCGGGCAAACACCTTTTTAATCACTACCATTCTGATCGCATGAAATGTTTTTTTTTTGTAGATGAATATGATGGAACCTTAATATAACGAAGGGCCAAGGGACTGGCAAAATATGTTCGCTAAAATGGGGATTCATTATATCTGGAGGTTCTCTTCCATGTATTTTACTGTTACTGGGTCAAATAACTTCTTTTGTCATTCCAAGGACTTCGTTATATCAGGAGTGATTTGTTACATCGAGGTTCCACTGTACAAGAACCCTCTGGAAATATTTGCCTATGGTCACCCCCCCACCTCCCTCCTGGAAAATTAGGAAAATTGACCCCCTTCACCCCTGGAAAATCCAATCCCTTCCATAGGGGTATGGATCTTTTCTGGAACCACACATTTTCACTTGGGGTGATAATAACTCATCCTCCCTGTTGTGTTCAAAAATTCTTTTTCTCTCATTTTGGCCTCTGGTGGTGTATACAAACGTAATTGTTTGTATATACATGTAACTTTGCTCTCAGCTAGCACTGTTAGAACAAAAAACCCTCTTGTTTTGGTTTGATAGGGGTAAACTACGAGATACAATCCTTGACTGGGAAGATTCTTTGCCTTACAAAGACCTTGTTATTGCTGAACATCACTCGAGGTAAAAACTGTAATCAGTTCCAGCACAAGAAAGTTAAAATTAACAAAGTAGTTGACATAAAAACAGCAATAGTTTTCGTATTAATTTTTTCTTGCATAGAGGTCAGTCAGTCTAATGACATCTTTGTTTCGTTGAAATTTCTGGACAGTATTAATATAAACTCTATACATTTTTCAACACATGAAATGAACATCACACTGTAATAAGGGGATATTCTTGACCAGCTGGTTTAAAAGAATTCCTTACAGTTCATTTGGAAGTGATTATCATTACTATGATTTATCATAAGTAGTCCTGTACTGTATTTCCTTGCCTCTCTGTCCACCTAAGGAAGAGGGTCCCTTATATTTTTTATGTGAAGCGTGGTTGGGCTTTTTTTTCCTCACAAATCATGATTTGAGTTTTTCTTTATTCATGAATTGCAGTTAAAAATCATAACATCTTTTCATGTCCATGTGAACTAATTCTTTTATTTAAACGCAACACATGAATGAAGAGGTGAATTAAACATGATTCATGAGCCATTTTGACTTGCACGAATGAATGAATGAATGAATACCTTTATTTAAGTGTCAGACTAAAATAGCAGTACATAACCACTAAATGGGGACACTACAAAATAAATTAAAAATGACTAAATCCATATATTAATTAAAGTTAAAATGCTAATTGAGCTAAAAATACTAAGATTGGTTAGCACGATGAATTCCCAGTGATTTAATTTATTTCCAAGGGTACGTATTGTTCTCAACTGGCTGTGCTTAGCTTTTGACTAGGGTTTTGACAGAACATGGACTTCGTATGGATTGATAAAAGTCATAAAACAGACCACTAATGATCTTTGAACAAATAAGATAAGTTGATATGTCATCTTTTGTCACTTAGACTGGTCAAGACCAGTAAAAAGTGAAAACATCAATTCAAGAAAAATCAATGTGACTTCATTTTTATGTTAAACATAATCATCTCAAATTCGTGTGAACATGAACAAAATTTGAATATTATTTGTGATGTGAGAAATGGCCAAATATTTTTACATGACTGAGTTTTACAAATGATATAGGAGACCCTCAAGGAAAACAGGGTGGTCAGGTGAATGATCAGGACTTAGTGATACCAACTCTGCTCCATAACAGAATGCCTGTTCTGTAGACTGAAGAAAGAGTTTCAAGAGATTTTCTGAGTCTGAATGCTTTACTGTACAGAAACCAAGATGGGCAATAAGTTAAAATAGTTTTGTGTCCATTTCAGGCAAGCTGATTTAGCAGTTTGTCTTGGAACTTCCCTCCAAATCCAGCCAAGTGGCAACTTACCTCTCTTCACACTCAGAAATGGTGGAAAGCTTGTTATTGTAAATCTTCAAAAAACAAGACATGTAAGCTTTATTGATGCAATATTTTTTAGTAAATGGGAAGATTTTTGTGGCTAAGTGTCTTGCAAAAGGTTCTTAATTAGTAATTTGTACTTTTCGAGGACTGAGGTAAGTCCATTAGGAGCCCCCATCCTCACCAGCAAAGATTAGAGCATTTGATTTTGGATACATTCATTCATTCATTTTGTTGAGTTACAGGTTGGAAAAACATGTGGGTGAAATCTAAACTACAAACAAAACCCTCTTTCAGTAGGGCAACAAATACTTAGAGAAGTAACTTGATCATTGAAAAAGCAATGTAAAGCACAGTGATGGTGTTTATCCCTCTTATTTGAATTACAAATAGTGAAGCCTTGTCAGGGGAAAGATCTCTATTATCAAGAAAAAGAAATATTGTAGGGGCTGGGTTAAACATACACATTTGTAGATCACAAACAGTAATTCATTATCACCAGTTGTTCCACAAAACCCCCAAAGAGGTGTTGGTGAGTGAAAAGAATATGTAAGAAGTTAGTTTATGGAGAAGGAAGAGGAAGAGGAAGAGGAAGATTTTGATTTGTATACTTAATAAATGAGTACAATGAGTAAAATGAGATGTTCTTTTCCCAAAGGATAAAAAAGCTACCTTGGTCATCAATCATTATGTTGATAGTGTAATGAAAGAACTAATGGACAGACTGGAAATCTCAATCCCCTCTTTCACTGGGAAGCCATGGTGGACTAACTCTGTTGGTGAAACAAAAACTCCATTAAAAAAAGAGGAAGTGGAGGAGTATGACAAAAAACATCAACTGAGTCATGAAACTTGTGAAGAGTTACCAGTAAAAAGGTTAAAAGAAGACTTTGAAGATGACTGACATCACAACAGTCATCACTAATTTTACTTGTCGGAGTGAATCATTTACATTGCATGGTAGAACTAAACTCACTTAAACTTTTTTTTTTAACCAAAGAACAATTTTGTGGTTGTTGAGTTTTTGAGTAGTACCCTTTCATGACTTTTAATGGAAGAGAATTAATGTATAGTTGTGAGTCAATTGGACTGTGACCAGGGGCCTACTTCTCAAAAGTCATGGCAACTAAATGGGCTGGAAGCCATATTTTAAATTCAAAATTTAAAGAATAGAGAAGCAGGTTCAGGCACCCTAACCTGTATACTGTAACCTCTCTTTTCTAATAACGTGGAACCTTCACCAGAATATTTATTGCTTTCATTATTTCTTGGTAACCTCTAAAGAGCCCAAGGATGTATGGAATACATCATATAGGGTTTTAAGGTATTCATTTCAATTGGATGCATTTTTAAGTACACTTTTAACAAACCCTTGAATTGCATATCGAACACTCGATGAAACAGGGAGTCAAGGGGTTTTGACCCAAAGAAAAGTCTTTTCACAATTCAGTCCAAATTAACTTGGCTTTCCCATGTGATAGAAAAATTAATCAAGGTACTAAAAGGGATTATATTCTTACCTTATATCTTGAAACAGTTTAAAGACTTGTCATATTTCCACTTTTAATTTATTTGTCTTGCATAGTTATTGAAAAGTATTCAGACTTTATATCTAAATAAAAGTTAAGAATATTTATGTTATTTTCAAAAGCAACACAAAAGAAAGAAATTAAACAGTTCTGACAGAGTAGTCTGATTGAGTGGAACTTCATTGAGATGAATGAAAATGGTGCAATATACTGAGAGTCTAACATTTTTGAGGGGAAAATTACACTTGTTCAGGACAAGACTGTGTGCAGTTTCCAAATGACCTGTCCCAGTATTGTAGACAGAAATGCAAGAAAAGAACAGCACACTGTAAATACTCTTTATTCAAATATTCAGTTGTTAACTCTAAATTTCATCAGCCTCCACATCAGGCTTTCAAAGTCTGGAGAATGAGGAAGGTGGAACCATGGAAATGAGAATAACCTCAACCACTTTTTTTTTTCACTACTGCTTCTTTGCCTGTCTAACTGGTTTTTCAGCAGAAGACGTCTTTGAAAAAGGTAGTTATCAAGCAATTTCATTGTTCACTGCTCCTTTTCATTCACATCTGGCAATGACAGGCTCGTGGTCAGCTTGGCTTGATATCACCCTAACAAGCTGCCAAAGGACCCCGTAGATTTGAGGTGTTGAATGATGAAGCTCTAACTTCATCAACTGGTTACTTCTTTTTCATTTATCTTCCACTGTCTGCTATCAGCTCCTAAGCTCAGCAAATAAGGAGAGACCTACAATGCAAGCAGAGTAGCTAAGAAAAGTCACTACAATTGTGATAATTGCAAAAAAAAAGGTGGTTTATCATTGATATACCAGGTAGGAATTAAAACAAACACTATATTTGCAATTAAAACATGTTTACCTGAATTACATAAATTGCACATCTTTTATCCTTATAGTAACTCAACAGAGTTAAAGCACTCCACAACTTCACCAACCCACTAAAATGACAGAAGTAACGACAGCAAGTAATGTTTTCTCAGAAGAAAATAATATTACATTTTTGTGCTCTTTTGTCACTTATTTTGCTTAAAACAGTGTGAAGAGAATGGCCTCAAACATGAACTTGTGTAACAAATTGCAAGATCACATATACACAAGTCTATGTGACATCCAAAGGCAAACTGAACTCAAGGGTACAAAAAAGACAACATACTTAAATCACAATTTCAAGGCTAAGCAAAAATAAGCACTTGTTCATATAACAACAGCCATCTGGGAGATAATGTCAAATATTCACCTCTCTTTTACTCTTAGTATGGCTTCCTTTAAGCTAGCTTCAAACTTGATGATGTCAACACTGATGGCAGAGCCTACCTGTTTAATGATGAGAAAAAAGTTCATAAAAAAAAAAAAATTGGTAAGCATCGGCTCCTTGACTGCGTGCTGACTACCAAAAAAATTAAAATACCTGGTAATAAGTAACAGGTTCTAATGCAAGGTGAATTCAAAGTTGGTTTTGTTACAGCTACTGTCATGGACATTAAGGTCAATTGCCCCTAAATTTTCCCCATAACTTTCAACTAGATGGCAAAGTTACAGGGGCACCAAATGGCACCTTAAAAGATCTTGGGTCTTGCAGAATTTATCTGATCACGACATTTTACAGTCTTCACAACAAGTCTTAAAATGTCATTTGAAATGCACTTGTCTCTGAATTATTGTTATAGCCAAGGGTCTCAGCCAAAAGGTAGCTGTGAGTAGCATAGAGTTATCATTGTAAGCCATGTAAGTGAGTAAAGGGGCCCTTCTGAGAATGGGGTACATGCATATTTTTGTTAATAAAAGCCATGATCTCCCAGCGTTAGCCTAGCTATTTGGGAGTACAAGTTCCAAGTCCAAGTCCGTGTATATCACAAAAAGTAAAGATATATTAGATTTAGTTTTCATTTGGCAGTTGAAACAAGATTTTTTAAACAAAAGAAAAGTACTTCTGCTTCGTAACAATTATTATGGGAATGGAGCAGCAATTTCAGGTACCTTGCCATGTAAAGCGTCAAGAGTTTGTATCAGAATACTCTTAAATGTCACTGCATCAATCTCAACTGATCTTTCATCAACTTCTTTGGAAATTTCTCTAGAAGGAAGTAACATCAGATAATTTTCTTGATCAACATCCAAAGAAATCATACATTGTATGATAGCGATAGCAATATCAGTATACTATCCGTATCTGGAAAAAAATCTGGCAAAAAGGTGACCAGCCAGATTGTGTTAGACATCCTTTCCTTTCTTTTGTAAAGAAGGTTGAAGAGTGGCCGCATAAGGTGATGTGGACCTGCTGTACTATCCTAAATAGTTACAAATTATACCAAGATACAACTTAATAAACAAAAAAATAGTAGATATAGGATAATTATTACAAATGTGATATAAAGACTCCACATACAGCAGGAGAAATTATGTAGCTATAAAGTTTAAAAGTAAATAGAATCGTCAGCGTGCTCGTTTGTTACTGTGAGCTGCGTGTTGGTGTGTAACCCATTGTAGTTACCATTGTAGTTAGAACAAATTTGCCAGTAATACAGCAGTTGAAAGTGTAGCTCGAACACTAAAAGACACTTACATTTTTAACTTTAGATAGAAGAACCGTGCCTTTTGTGGCAAAGTTAATCTCTCCATGAAACTGCTCGCACACTTAGGTTAGCGTGACTGACGTGACCCACTTCGATTGCACGCCAATGAAACGTCATAATGACATTGGAGTGCAACATGAGCCCGCGTTTCCAGCATTTTTGTTGTTATAGTGACTTGCCAACATGGCTGACAGCGAAAAGGCAAGCAGGGCTGATGATCCTTTTAAAGTGCCTTTTGTTAATGTTATCGTCTGATTTTTTTTATTCATTTTTAATAGGAGACTGAGGAACAGCTGAAGAGACGTGGTATATCAAAAGATAAAGATGTTTCAGAGATTTACTTAGCGAACAGGTAGAGTATCAATGTTTGTCACTGACACGAGCAGTTCTGTTAAGGGCCGCTTCATGCCAAGTTTTGTACAAGTAATCGATTTATATAAAAGATCACTAAAGTCCTTCAGGTTACATGGGAACAGTGCCGATATTTTGATGAAGGGAATCGTGTGATATACTTCCATTTAGCCTGTAAATACCAACCGAAATGCGTTGAGTTCATGGTTCACATAATGTGACATTCCATTTAAAATCCGCACCCCCCCTATTGAAGGCTTTCCTGTAACACCCCTCCAGAAAATAAATTTTTTAACCCCCTTCAGAATTGCCTGAAATTACCCCCTTCAGAATTTTATGTAGCTATCAAGCAAACCAATTGAACCCCCTTCAGAAACTACTCGTGAGAATTTCTGTCAAGGGTACTTTATGGCGACCCCTCTCAGAAATATGGTTCAACCCCCCTAAGAAAAAATWTAGCATTGACCCCCCTCCCCCTAAGAAATCCCAGGCCTTCAATAGGGGGGGTGCAGATATTAAATGGAATGGCCCATTCGGTCAGAGTTTGTACTGGATTTATCTTATTTCGTGGAACCTTGAACACCACCCATGTGCTAGAGTGATTAAACCGGATTAAATATGCATTTTTATCGGTTCTTTCTTATGATCTGTCGTAGGAGAGACGCATGCATGACGTCAACATTGCTTTTTTATCTTATAAAACAAATAGATTATATGTTACCGTGGTCAAGTTCTTTTGAGCGACAGATCACATGTCATTGGTGACAGATTCGGCTGCACCTTGTATGCCTTCTTTTGTACTTACTACATTTTGATGACATCTTTGATTCATTACTGAACAGGCCCACAGCAAGATGGAATTGAATAGAGCTAGTCTCAGAGATGCAAACCACTGGGGTCTGAAATCTGGTGATGTTTGAGTTTGGCTGATATCCCTCCCCCTTCCCTCCCCCCCTGACCCTTTACCTACTAAAGTTTTACAGTTAACAGCCACAAATTCAACACTGCTTCCAGTCCCTTTTGATCTGACTGTCGAGGTCAGAGTGCCTCTACTGGTCATGATTTTGTACTGGAATCTCAAGATGTACTCCGAAACAAGTATTCTATATTATACAGCTAATGTATTTTAAAATATAAATGCACTAAATTTTTGTTGATTGTTGTCCTTTTCATACCCACAGGGTACTTGAGGAGGTGGCAGACTTTGGAAAATATAAAAATTTACAAATTGTTTGGTTGAACGGAAATAAGGTGGAATTTCATTATCTGACAATTTACATTATCTTACGTTTTATTACGGGAATAAGGAATCTATAACATAGTTACATCAAATTATTATTATCATTGCTTAATGGGTGGCAAACTTGCCATCAGGTGTGGGTTTAAGCTTTGAAAAATGAATTCTATCTCGTTCTCTTGCTCAAACTCTTTCAGTACCTTCTCCCCCCCTCCCTCCCTCCCTCCTTACCCAGCTGGAGCTTATCCTGTATTTCCTGGGAGTATCACTAGGAGTATCACTACTCCCTCCTGGAAGGGATGCCAGTCCATCCTAAGGTTACCGAGTGCGTCTTATAACCGAATAACTACGGTACTCCCCAGCATTACATTAGGCTTCCCTGCCTGCAGGTAGCCATTTATAGTCTTGGGTGGAGGAGACAGAGTGAGAGGAAAGTGTTGCAGCCAAGAATACAACACACTCACCTGCCAGCTCTTACATGTAAACCTGGTTATCTCCAACCAAAGTCACCTAAAGTCCAGTGAACCAATCATTGGGCCACTGCACCTCTTACACCCAGGAGTATAAATGGATACTAATGGCAAAATTCTTGTGGGTAACGTAGCATGGAATAGCATCCTGGAGAGGAATGTAGTACACTCCTTGTCAGAAACTTGGATAGGCTCTGGCACAATGGCCTCTTGACTCCAGCTCAGACCTATCATTCTGTGGAGGATAATTTCAATTAATTTATCTTCACCTCACTTAGCCCATCATTGACAAGTATTTCTCTCCTTCTATTGACGTGTAACTTGGGTTGAATAAATGCTATCAACCCTTTCTTTCCCAAAAAAATCTCTTTAGTAACTCTCCTTTCCATCTGCCATACAATTCCTTTCGTGTTATTTTTTAGAGAATTTGGTATTAGATCAGCTAACAATCCCCTAATTGATACTTTTTGTTCACAACCCTTTTCTGCCTGATATTGTAAAGAGAAATTTTCTCTTGATCACTAATGGGTATTAAAGAATTTAAGCAATCATAGGTGTGGTATGTTTTGTTTATTTCTGGAATAAAATTTTTTAGCAAAATTATGGGTTTCAAAATGAAGTGTATCACTGGTTTTCACACCATGCCAGTATCATCACTGACATCTTGCTTGGTACTTTACTCCTCTTCATTCTGCAGCTAAGGAAGTTGAACTGTTTTAACTCAAACTATCAACTGAGAGAGTTGTACCTTCAAGACAACATGTTAGTGGAACTGAATGGCTCATTACGGCACTTGACATGCCTTCAAGTATTATTGCTAAATGGAAATCAGCTGATAAAACTCACTGACATTGTCCATGAGTTAAAGGCCATGCATTGTCTAAAGACTCTTAGTAAGTTGTGAGACAATTTGCAGTGTGACCCTCAGCACCCTAAGATCAATACGCATCTTCTCCATACTGTTCTCTATATATTTCCAATGGCAATGGTAAAGAGAAATTGTTTCACAATCAAGGGGTACTTTTGTTGGTGATGTATTCCTTTGTTCTTGTGGCCTTAGTGTTTCATGCAGGGGTGATACTGTGAGTAAAAAATAGATACTGGTCTCTCACAAGGGCTAAAGGGTTCAATATGTAATCAAAACTGAGGGAGTTGAACCTGTCTATTGGGTTGACATAATGCACCCTAGTGGAGAGAGAACCAGTGATATGTTTTCTGCTCATTTGAAGCTATATATTTTATTTTATAAATGTAACATGTATTATCATTTGGGGAAAGGGTACCTCCCTATATGGGCTTTACAAGTGTTTATGTTGTCAAAGAATAAAGACTTACCCATACATAGGTACATAGAGTAAATTAAGTATTGTTAGTTTGCTAAGTATATGCTAGTGTGTCCTTTCCCAAATTATCTCACTTTCCCGTGTGAAACTTTGGGAGAAGTTGATATTGAAATAAGATTTTTTTTAGCCTTTATTCCATCTACCCCTTAAATTTGTCCCTGGATATCAGATACCAGTAAGTTCTTGCATGCTTTACACTCTGAAGGTGGAGCTCAAGTCTGGAAAAAAAATTTTTTTCAGTAGAATTAACCCTCTACTTATTGTACAGATCTTAATATGAGAAGAGAAAATAACAGCAAAAAAGTTTTTCTTTGAACTCAAAATGTGAAGTGATGCTGCTGTATTTTAACATTTTACCATACATATTATTGTATTACAGATCTCTTTGCTAATCCACTAGCTCAGGATTACGATTACAGAAGTTATGTCATACATCACTTACCCTCTGTTGAACTGCTTGATAGGAAAGGTAAACAACATGTGCTGACTTTGGTTGGAAAAATTATAAACACTGTGCCTGTCACTGTCAACATCAAAATATCAATTCTCTGCAATGTTTTGCTTATATTTTCTGGTTATTTTCACTCTGGGAATTATTTGATGTTGAATCAGATACCTGCTCTTTTTTCATTATCTGTTTGCTCGATAATTTATCAATATTTCAAGGAGAAATCCTCTTTTGGTCACTCTAGTGATTAATTCAGAAATCGATTCAATTTGTAGAAATCACCAAAGCGGAAAGGGACAAAGCCAGGAAAAAATACGATTCACATCGAGAGATGGTGAAACAAACAGTAGCTTTTGGTCGCCGAGCGGACGGTCCACCAAAGCAAGTCTATCATCCTCCACCCTCAGGGATGCTGGAAAGCTTTTGTTTTGACGAAGGTAAGAGAACAGAAATTTCACCCCATGTAGGGTGCCTCCCCCCCAACCCCTTCGCTTCCTCTGTCCAAGTTTTCGTCCAAAAGGATTTTTTTGTTATGAGGATAGCTGACAGAGTGGTAAACAACACGTTTGTGTCTAGTCTGCAACGAGGACGCTTGGCAAGTTTATCTGTAAGTTTGTAAGTTGGTGAGCGATGACTCACTCCACCTCATCAGACACACACTTGAGAGTTACTTCAAGACAATTTGAATATCGGAACTGCGATTGAAGTGACATGTTCTATAGGTTTACAAGAAGAGTGAATGATTTTTAATAAAACCTAAAAGTCGCTATTATGACTCATTTGTTAGTTTCTTTCCAAATCATCCGACAACACTCCTTATGAACCGCTTTTGCAACCTTCATGCCAATGTTTCTAACTCTGTGTAAATGTGACGTTACACACCTACGATTACACGCGTTAGCCGTAAAAAGGCCAAAATTTCAGACGTTAGCTGTAATAGCTATTTATTTAATTTAATTTAACATGATTTATACAGCGCTAACTTCACTAATTGACCAAAGCGCTATCACCCCATTAGGAATCTCATAATTGCATTCGGGGTCTTTCATGAACTTCCTAGTTGTGTATTGTGACTAACAGACTGTTTGCTTCTTGGTATAGATGACGGCGAAGAACAGAATGGTGAAGGATCCGATGATGCCTTAAGGTTGGTGCAAATTACAAGCTGATCCTGTATACAAGTGACATGCTTGTTTGTGATGTTTGTGTTATTAAATCTTTCAGTGACCACAAGGCCATTCTAGAGGAATCGATGAAAAGGCGAGGTCTTGAGCGCTCCGTCATGCAGTACTCCACATTTGATTGGTCTTCCATTCCTTTGTCACAAGAAAGGAGACTTGTTCCAGAGAGCGTACCTGATCAGCCGCGAATTTTAACTGTCCGATTTCGATAACCTGTGCCAAACAACTACCCCCTCAGGAAAGTCGGACCCCCGTGCAGGGGTCTGCAGCTACTCCGAACCAACCCCTGAAATTTCATGCGAAATTCACACATTTTTTACTGCTCCCAGATCCTCATAGATGCTTCCACCACAGCGCGTACTTTTCATGCCCATTGATAGATTTTTTGTTCCATCGTTCCTGTGTTTCTTGTAAATATAAAATGTGTAAATAAATTTAGAGAGAAAAATGCTTCGATTGGTCTTTATTCATAATTATCAAGCCAAAAATAGCGTCGCTCCGTAACGAAGGGCTGACGCTCGAAACGTCAGCCCTGAAACTCTTACGGTGGCAAATTTACATTATCAACTCATAAATATCAAAGCGATCTACGCAGTAATGAACACTACTTGAGCATTAGTGAAAATAAGGCCTGAAAAAATTCAGGCCTGTACGGGATTTGAACCCATGACCTCTGCGATACCGGTGCAGTGCTCTACCAATTGAGCCAACAAGCCAACTGGAAAGTGGTTATTATGATGATTCGTAATACACTCGTGAAGAGATGAATCAATGACTATGAACATTTGAAAATCATATAATTATGCAGTTCGCATATGATTTTCATTTATTTGACGCTCATTTATTATCAACTTAGTTGTTTTCACCCAGTGTTCTTGTAATACCTCCTCCCCATCTCCCTCTATCGACGCAGTAAGTCAGCTTCCCCCCCCCCCAGCGTAGCTTGTTCTAGGTCAGACCCTTTCCCCGGGGGAAAGGCTCAAGTCAGCGAGCACAACAGCTAACAGAAAAGATAAAACCAAATATGATGTTTCCTGGTCTGTAAGTGTGCTTCACCTTTCTCTGCAATCCCGCTACAAATACCGTGGCGCCATACCGCCCTCTGGAGCTAAAAGTTGTCAAACTCATGCAAAGCCTGGGTTTGCTCCCGCGGTCATTCAATTCCACGTCAAGCCTCTCTTTCAAGGCGCAGACTGGTGAATTTTAATGAAGGGGTATCCCCAAAACATTAAGGTAAGTCTGACTAAAATGTTACATATGGGGAAAGGAGCAAGAGCATGGATAAGAAACGAGACAAATATGGGACAAATGAGACTGAAAGGAATGATGTAAAAGATATCTTCAACTGCGACGGGCTTCTGTGATTTTGGATTTGCACCCTACTCTCCAGAGAGAGTGGTTTTATCAAAAAAAGAAAAAAGGTTTCGGTAGCTGAGATTTTCCATTTTAATTCCGTAACAAAATATAATTATGCAGGTTTCTGCACGACTGTTATGTCAAGGTTGAGTATTAAAACAAATGAAATGTATAAACTTTGTTTTGGCAAATTTTGGTTCAGGTAATTTTTTTAAAATTACTTAACTAATAACGATAGAAGACGTTTCTTGGTCTGGACGTTAATGCTCTGTGGGAGAAACAGCGCAGGAATCGAGTTCTAAAATCCAACAATATTCTTCAGCCTAATTAGCTGTTCTTAGACTGAATATATAATCAAGAGAGTGCATTTGTTTTCCTGTTTGGTAACCTGCCCGGTACCTGCCGACACGTGACAATACAAGGGTTGTCGGACCACACCTATAACCATCCAATCATTGTTACCGAAGACTTTCCGCTTCTGAATCAGCGAAAAATGTTGCAGTTTCTCAAAACTTTCTGTTACAAAAGATTCTAAGTTATGGAAATACATTTTTGCCATTAAAATCGCAGGTTTTAAAGAAAGATATTAATTATGTATCCGATGGAAAGTAGATCGATGTCATCTGCTAATGACGTGATCATAATTTATTCAAACTTTTGAGTAAAATATCCCCAAACTTGTTCCTAACGGACGAAAAAACTGTTGGTTGAATTCGTTTAATTACAACGTGGATTAGATCTGGGAAAAGTCAACACGATCCTTTTGCTGAAATTTAGCAAATATTTCACTTTACTACTGCTTAAGAACAATTGGCCATTACAAGGAATCGAAGAACAGGAATCATTTAGCTGACTGGATGAATTCAGGGTGAATTCAGTTCCACAAGAGTTGTTTCATGATGGATAAACCTCTCTCTCAAATCTACACAGACTTTACACTGCAGGATGAAACGCGGACAATATACGATTACGGATACCGTGTATTGTGCACCATTCTGGTGGGATCCGGTGCGATTTTCGTGGATATCATTGTTTATTTTGCACTGGTACTTGTGAAGAAAGTCATCCAGAAGCACTTAATCACCGAAGATATGCACTTTGTTGTTGACTTGCTGTTTAGCGTGTTGAATTTAAGTATCACGGCATGGTTGGCGTACTTTGTTGACGGAAGACTGCGAATTTATTGGGCAAAAAGGAAATATGGCTTCAATAATTCATTCACTTTAATAGATTGAAACAGACCTTATTGTTTTTCAACCGAGGTCGAATCCTTTTTGTAATCGAGCGGGAGTGGTTATTGATCCGTCCATATATTTATTTTCTAAGCATGCTTATTCGTTTCCATAAAACTGTTTAGTTTAGGCGTTTATAACAAAATTAAATAATGCTTCATACATTCAAGTGATGATTCTTTTCGGTCTGGAAAACACATATGACAATGAAAGGCGATTTATCTGTTGATGTGCACATCGTCGATTTATCATTTTGAAAAAGATCTTGCACTTGTCGCCGAAAAATTGTTTCCGCGTAGAAGCAATGTACGAAATGAATACAAAACGACATGCAAATACAAGTAACGACCTTTGATTAATTAAGACTCGTGAAGGATTTTTGTATTAATACACAGAAACCTGTAATGTCAAAAAATTGCTCCAAAAATTCGTTCAAAGCCAGCAAGAATTTTTACGAAAAACTAGACTACTGTATCCTTCATATTTTCATGACTGAATTTGACGTGCGGTCAGCCAAGTTTGTCGCGAGAAGCATAAATTTGAATATTTGCGGCCATAGTAGTATGTTCTAAGAAACGTTGAAGCCGAAAGGAAGTTTACCATTTTTGATTACAGATCAAATGAAAGCTAACCTTTTTTGGATAAACATCTACTCGGTATCTATCAACCACAGCAAATTGATGCGTTTTAAGTACGATGGAAAAGAATCACCAAGAAGAGAAGTGAAAACCATGGAAACAGGAACTTTAGTCGTCTTTTAGTGGAGAGCGGGAAAAGGATGTTTAAGATGTGCATCTTATTTCGTTGTGACTTGCTTTCATCTTCTTACTTTCGAACCAGGTGCTTGAATTTTGACCATTTCCTGATATCAAAAACCCATTGATTCCCAGTAATAACGAATAGGGGGGAGGGAGGAGGGGGAGGAGGACAGTAATTAGATGTGAGGCAGGGGAGGGGGGAGGAAAGACCGGAAAGAAATCATGCATTATAATTTTCATCAGCAAGTGCAAATTGTCACGTTTGTTGAACGACAACACTGGCAAAATAATTAACGTGGATCTTTTATCCTATTCACTAAGTAACAGGACATGTGAATGAGAAAAAGTAGATTGAGCCTTTCTTTATATAAAAAAAGTTCATTGTTTATTTCTCATATAGTAATATTCACACTGGTTATAAGTATGGAAAATTCCGACAGATTGTTATGCAATTAGTGAAAACTGTTACAATCTATAGATAATAACTATAGAATAATATGTTGACAACGTTCACAGCCAGTTTAAAGCAAAGAGTTATGTGTTGACCAGTGCGAGACACTATGAGGTTACAGTCAAATCTCGCCTCACTAAAATGCTTTGACAAGCAACACAGAATATATAACGAGGGCTTTTTCTGAATTATCGAAAAAAAGTAAAAAAAATGCGTTCAGGGAAGTCTTAAAAAGATATGAAACCAGACCAATGTACAAAAGAAAGGAACTCTGTCAGGAAACCTACTCATATATTAATATTAAAAAAAAAAAAAAAAGACATAAAGCTTCATAAGGCGAAGCACAATTTCTTTCCACTCATAGACTAATATAGAAATGCAGATTAGAGCTTCCTGCAGGAGTTCTTGATTCAAACTAGTCTTGGAGCATTGCAGCCGATCTGTACATTATGCAGTTGGCTGGGATCTAGTCTTACCAGGCCAACCGCTTGTTCGTCAATCTTCAGACCTTGTACACAGCCAGCGAGTCCTTTATGGGACAAACCACTGTGTGTCTGGAAACCAGACCCATCTGAAAACACAATAACGTGGCTGGAGTTGAGCTTCACTACCAGTTAGACCAACTAAGGGTCGTTTGTTCTCAGGATATTTTCCCTTCCCTTTCCCATCACCCTAAACGGGTGGAATGAGCAAAGTCTGGGGAACAAGGTGGATAGATTTACGAGCCTTTCTTGGGTTGTGGAAATTTCTGCGTGGAAACATATACATGTTTTTGATTTGTTTTGTTTTTCTATTTCCCGACTATTCTGTTTCAAATGTTATAAAAAGAAATGAATGACAATCTAAGAGCCAAGGCATCACAAATGGTTTTTAACGCATGGGATACGGATGGAAAGAAAATAAAAATAATATACCTAAATATTACTTTAGGGCTTTTTGATTTAAAGAAAATTTTCATCCCCCAAAAAATGACTGGGAACATCGTTAAACAACTTCTGAAATGCGCGAAAATAAGCAATGCACTGCTTGTTGGTTTTACCTGGTACACCGCCGATGTGAAATGTTCCCTGGTTGAGTGTGAAGGCTGAGGGTAACACGCCTTCTACGGGTTCGTGATCATCTACTCTGAGCTCTACAATACCCTTATTCCGCGAAACTACAACTCGGTGAAAGTTGTTATCACACAGGTGAAAGGAAGCGTTATACTGTCCCTCCTCTGGGATCGATGGATCTGTCCATCGGATCACGGACGAGTTGTGTGCATTGTTGAAAATGAGAACAACCTGGAAATAAATCCAAGTTATGTTTACAAAAATGAAGAATGTATATGAAAGCGATCCTCGCAGTAATGAACACTACTTAAGCAATAGTGAAAATTAGGCCTGAAAAAGTTCAGGCCTGTACGGGAATTGAACCCATGACCTCTGCGACACCGGTACATTGCTCTACCAACCGAGCTAACAAGCCAACTGAGACTTGATATAGTTGGACATTTTACCAACGAATCATGCAATCACCATCAAATGAGCGCGTGACGGGCCACAAAGGAGGCGAGGCTAAAGAAGAACAGCTTACATTTTCTTGAGTAAGAAATAAATCAACAAATGGACAAGTGTTATGATCGGCCGGCTAGACAGGGCTCGACCTAACTTTTCGACTTACTAGCCAAGTGGCAAGTGACAACTTAAATGTTACAAGAATTTCAGACATAAAAGTGAATTTCAAACCCTATCGGTAACAACAAAGTTATGCCATGACACTGATAATTTGTTTAATTCCCCCATATTCTCTTAAAATGCTAAATTCTTTCAAACTATCCTTTTCAAAAACTCTTGCGTTCGTCTCTGCTAACCTACCGGCTGGAGTAAGTTACACAGGATGTTGATTACATGACGTCGTGTCTCACCTGTCCCTCAAGTTGCTCCAAAGTAATGGATCCAGGACCCGAGCTGTTGGTAATGGACATAAGGAGCCCGGAGCGAGTGGTGGTTCGGAAGATAATAGCAATGTTTGTCTCCACAGGTAATGAGTAGTTTGAGTCTAATAAAAAAAGATAACTGTCAGAAACTGTAAGTGCAGGATTAATCGTTGTGGCCCAATTTGTTTCCTTACCATACACAATATGACCATCGCCGGAGAAACCAACTTGTGCTTGTATTTCGTTGTAGCAGGGTTTAAAGTTGTAGTCGGAATCCCTTTCGTCTCTATCAGTCCTTCGAGCAACAAAAAAGGAAACCATACAATTAGTGCCAAACTGTTTTCCAAGTTCAGAGGATGAATTTGCTGAATTTAGGAAACAGAATCCAAGAGAAAATACTTGCAGAACAAGAATAGAACGTAGAGTCAATTGAACTAAATCAAAAAGAGGGACAAAGGTCCGGAATTGTAAGCAGTTGGCTGGAAAAAAACAAAGCTGATGACTAAATCCGGCGGTACGTATCTATGAAGGATTGAATGTTTGAGGTAGGATTGAATGTTTGTCCATACCGAGGATTGAAAGTTCTGGATTTGAAGTTTCCGTCTTGAATTTCAAGAGGTCCCATGCATCCAAGGAAACCAACACCATGACACTAACATGAGGCAATAAGGGAGAGAGAGAAATAAAATATCAGTAAGTTTTCAGCTGTTGGTTGGATAAAATTGATTACTTTGCACATGGCTGTCAGGAGAAGGGGCACCAAACAACAATAAAAAAAAAATTAACTTTAATAGCTAACACAATTACTGGTAACCCTGTAGTTTACATTGTGGGCTATAAACAAACAATTCAAATTGAACATAACATTGTTAAGAATCCCAACTGGCCGGAGGCAAACCAGTTGGCTATTTACAAGCATGGCCGAGGATTTGAACTCGGAGCCACCGTGAAACAAATTCAGGTAGTGGTCAGGGCGGGACTCGAACACGGGAGCGACGGATTGCGAGTTAGACACGCTGACCACTTGACCACTTGACCACGTGACCACTTGACCACGTGAAGGGAGTGAAGGGGTTAACTGAACTATTTAGCTTCCAGGCACTATATTTTTATCTAATTTCAGACAGTGTAAAGAGGCCCATTTCACTTGAAATTGTCAACTTCGTTCAGGGTT